AGAGAGAGAGAGAGAAGAGAGAGAGAGAGAGAGAAGAAGGGAGAAGAGAGAGAGAAATGACACATAAAACTATACACAAAGATAGCAAAATTTTCTTTGCACTAATGCATGGATCAGTGAAGCTATCAAATACCTATAGTGTTCAAGAAACAAGTGGCTGTGAACAAAATGTCCTAAAAAGTGTGAATGAAACCAGTTGTTCAGAGAGAATGATGGAGAGAGATGAGAGACAGATATAGATAGGTAGAGAAGGAAGAAAGGGGGAAAGATGGAGGAAGGAGGAACGAGCGATGAGGATGAGGATGAGGGAGGAGGTGGATGAGGATGAAGAGAGGAGAGGGGGGAGGAGGAGGAGGAGGAGGAGGAGGAAGGAGGAGGAGGAGGAGGAGGAAGAAGAGGAGGAGGAAGAGTAATAGGTGGAGGAGGAGGAGGAGGAGGAAGGAAGGAGGAGGAGGAGGAGGAGGAGAGGAGGAGGAGGAGGAGGAGATAGGAGGAGGAAAAAGAAGGAGGAGGAGGAGGAGGAGGAGGAGGAGGAGGAGGAGGAAAGGAGGGAAGGAGGAGGAGGACAAAGAAAAAGGTGCTGGAGGAAGGAGGAAGAGGAGGAGAAAGGAGAAAAGGGGATGGAGGAGGAGGAGGAGGAGGAGGAGGTATTGGTAGGGGAAGTAGTATTAGTGAGGGAGGAATGGGAGAGAGAGAGAGGAGGAGGGAAAATATGGAGATTGTGTTATTGCATAGTTACCACACTGTGCATGTTGCAGTAAAGTCAATTCCCAACATGTCTCTCCTTACTCCTACATTTTTCTAAATTCTGTTAATGTATGTTTAATGACAACCATGTGTGAATAGTAAGAAGAGTGCAAGCCCAAGAAATAGAGCATTATAGTGAATTTACAAGTCATTTACAATGTGTAAAAACAAATTACTATAGACATAGACCACAGAAGTAGCATCTAATTGCATGCAAAGCAAAGACTGCATGATCGTGCTGTCACACAAGCATAATAAGAGAGAGGAAAGTTAAAGCTATGTACCTGTAAGTTAGGCCTGGCTAAGTTGCTGTAAATCTTCCTACTTAAAAACTAAATATATTTCTTCCCATTAAAATAATTGCATTATCATTATCTCAACTAAAACAGAATTACTAGAGGAAATACTATAAACTAAGGTAAGATAGTATTATATACTAATGACTAAGTAAAGTTACAGTGAATTATTTGGTAAACCTGTATCTACATTTTGCAGGAAATGTCAGTTGATAGAGTAATATATTCTTTTCTCATAAGGAAAAATACATCAGCAACATTCTAGTCCTAAAAAAGCCTTTATTTTCCTTTAAAATGATGGCAAATATAGAATCCAATCTTTTAAAACTATCTGGGTATAAAGAGAAGAAAGATCTGTTCTTATGATACCTAAGATGGATTTACTTTCCCACCCAGATAACAATTCTGTACTTTCTCAGCGTAATATTTTGAACCAAGTTGAAAGACTAATCTGTTGCTGATTATTTTGATTGAATCTAAAACTCAATTACCTAGACGGAAAGTCCAATAATTAGCAAAATTTAAAGCAACTTCAAAAAATTAAATAGATATTCTTTTTCCATGATCTCTCACTTAGAGAAAAACTATTTGGCGACAAAGAAATCTTCCTCCAAACATCCTCTTTGAAACAGGAAGAAAAATACAATAGCTGTTAGAGAACAGACAGTATCAAATATTATGAAAATAATTAGAAACCACAAAATGAAAAGAAAAAAAATATAATAAAAAGATATTAATGATAATGTTCCTTCTGTTTTTCTTTACATCAAGTTTTGAGTTGGTATGTATATCTGAAAATCCATATCTCATGTTATTTTAAGGCTGAGTATGTGCAATTGCATAGGTACATTGGCAAACCTGCAAATGTGTGTCTGACATTGTACATAAATGTGAATGTGTGTGGAAGAAAATGCAAGTATGAACATAACTAATTTCATGTTTGTGTTTGTGTGTAATAAATTCATCAACATGAAAAAATAAATCTAATACAGAAAGTATATTAAAACAGAGAAAACAAACAAACAAAAAAATAGTACATCATAAGGTAAAAACAAACAAATACAGAAAAGAAATGAAATTACAAGAGAATGGCGAGTATGAAGTCACACATTCTCAACCCTAGACCACAGATGATATAAATCAACTGAAGCGAGACATTCATTTAAAGCTCGAAACCATCTCACAGAAGCATGCAATGCACTATCTACACACATTTTTTACCTGTCGCGCAACTTTACCCAAGCAGGTGTTAAAATGGCATGTCTGGTTGCACCTAAACCACATCATTCAGTGCAAAAAGCAAAACAATTCTGAACCTCTAAACTAAATCATTTGTGAGAAAAATATTTGAAATATACAGAGTTTATGTTAAGAAGATGATGAATGGATGAATGTGCACTTTGGCAGAAATTAGTCAACATCAAAAAATAAGAATAAACCTGAATGACTGGGAGGGAGGGAGGAGAGAAGCCGGTACGAAAGACGAAACAGTGAATCAACGCAAAAGTATGAAAGAGCAAATGAGAGGAAGAAGCTGACCACTCGTCATCTCCTACGTGCAGAGGCCAATGACCAAAACAGCACTGCTAGTTAGTAGGGAGGAGTAACTCTTACAACTTTCACAACAGATATGTTCTCACTTGGGAAAACAAACCTGTGTTTTAGTAATTCTTCAAGGTATTACAATCACCTTTATTGTACAGTGAAACTTCCACCAGCGGGACAAAAGCACTAGCAATGTTATTTTCTGTGGTCCTAAAATGAGTCAACGAAAACAGCAACTGCTAAAACAAACATCAAATCTGATCTTATCCCTGGGGGGAGGGAGGGGGGAACCATGTACTAAAACTGCTATAATAACAGTCTTGGTATGAGGCAGCACGACAGGTATGAGGTTAGTTCAAATGCTGCCCGAAATAAACTGAAACTTACACAAAGCTTGTTTTTTTTGATGATGTGTGATGCGTTCAACACGATTTACCTTCTCCAATCGACACAGCGGAAGACCGGCGGGATCCACTCACCGCTTGGGGTTTAGGGGGAAACTATCTTTACCATCGACGGACATTATGAAGCTTTTATGATAAAAATATCATAAACAAAGAGAGTTAACATGCCTGGACAACCCTCTCCTTTCTCTTTAGATTGTGACTGAGAAAAGTTAAATCTATGTCTAATGACCTACTTATAGCTCAACATAGAACTAGACAAACAATCTGTATACATGTTTTACAATATTGGCCAAATTTTATGGAGAGTGAAGTACCTCAAATATTCTCTTACTATATTCTCCATCAAGAACCTTGATTTTCCTTCACATATACAATAAGATTAAGACAAGACACTGAAGCAAACTAGCCATGATATTGAGTAAGTAGCAGGTAAGTGAATTACATAAGAGAATTGCTGCACATTTATATTTCTTACTGCTGTTCCTGACAAATCCTTAGCAAAGTTCTTTTCAAACTGCATGAAATGAAAATTTTCCCCAATATCATAGAACATCTCATCTGCATGAAGATGATTTGATTTACCATTCTGGAATAACTAGCTGTGGATCTATCATAAATGTATTATCAAAGGCATCTCTACATTAGCAGTACCAGCTCGCTTACCTTTCATGAAATACATTATATATAACCTAGCACATTAAAAAGCTGAAAAATAATACTTCCTATGAGACTATAAATTACTGGTTGTCCATTATATAAATATTCCCTGAAATCACCTATCTTTCCATAATACAAGATAATGATACCCACAACAATAGACATTTTGAATCTGTTCACTTGTACTTACCACATACATAAATGGAATTAAAATCTAAACTGAAATTTGTACTGTGTAACCTACCACACATTATCTTAAGATTTTTCATCTACTAAATATTTTCAATCATTCTCTTAAGGATAACAGAAAAAAACATTAATCCAGTTAATGCTCTGAGGAAAGGCGATGAAACCTGAAAAGGCCATTAAAGCCAAGAGCGGCAGGAAAATCAGCATCAGCAGTAGACATTTAGCATTTGTTTAAGGCTCTGAAATCTGCTGGGACAAGCATTGAAGCTCAAAAGAGTCAAGTAATTTGATAACTTCATTAAGAACAGAATTTAATGCTCCATATGTTAACTTCATGTAGGCTTCATTAAATGCTATGATAGTTGATCTTTTCATGTTAAATAAGAAACTGGCACCTATGAGTTTACGCATGAAGTACATGCCCCAAGTTGGTAAAGCTGAAGACTGGGATAGGAAAGAGAAGTGCAAAATTTTATATGGAACTTTATACATTAGTGTTCCATATTGCCTATTTCTCATCATTCATCCTACAAATCTGACTAATGTCCACTCTAAATTGACTTGATTCTAAAAAGTATTATCATCAAAACTGTTAAGTTTACCATATCAAAAGGTAAGTAATTTTCCCTTGAAAAAACAAATAAATCAAATGAGACAAATCAATTGATAATCATGTGCATAAACCACATTAAATTCAAGCAAACACACACACATAAAATCTGTGCACTTACCTACAACTACATTTATGCTCTTGCACTCATCAATTTACTAGACCATATACTCAACCAAACTCCCATCCTCACATCTTTCAGCATAATGCTCTTGTTAAAAGCAATGGCATATTTCTCCTCTTACATTCATTTATCTGTTTATCCAATCCACATACCAAAAATAACACTCAGGCAAAACTAAACCTGCACCTAATACTCAAATACACCTAACACACTACCATACACACTCATAGGCAAACCTAAACCTGCCCCCAAATATACCTAACACACACACACACACTCAAAAACAGTAAACGCAAGACCCACATCCACAGACATCCCCACCCCCACACACTATGCTTAAATTGCCCACAAATACCATTATGCTATCCTGTCCTGCCCTCATCAACTGTTAAGCATTTACTGTCCCCTATCTAGCACCACCTTACCATAGCCTTGACCCTGTAGGAAGAGTCGGAAAGCTTCCACCACTTTCCCTGGGGCCTCGTCAATTACCAGTCCACAGTCTTGAATCTGGAAGTAACAATGGGAGGAATAAGAATCAAATATAATTGCAATTCCATTCTTGTATGGCATGTTCTTAGAGTGAGAGAAAAAGATACCGTTTTAGACAACTAGTTTTTTGATTATCCAGGTATGTCTAAAGACTAAAACTCTGAAAATTTTATTCAAAGAATATAATTAGGACTAAGTTTTTGTTATCTCATTTTCTTTTTTTTACATGAAAAAATCACATTATCAAAAAATATGTACACATATATACATATGTATATAATAAAAATATATAAGTAATATTTCTCTCCCAAATGAACTTCACGTAAAAGACAACACAACAAACTCTGAACCTGAAAGTACATTAGATAGCCAGTCTTCCTCACTCCAGACAAATATTTCATGCAAAAGGCAACCCTGCAAAATGAAAATCATCAAATTACCTTCATCCATGTAGACAAAGTGGGGTCGAGTCTTCCATTGAAGGTGACTGTATCGTCCACATGGGGAGAGTGGTTGGCCGTGATGTTCAACACTTGTGTCCTGATCATTCGCACATCCTGGAATAATGGTCAGTGAGGTAGATCTATCATTGCCATTAGGTCTTAATCAAATTGCAAGTTAATATATTACAAGTTTAAAGCCTGTGGCATAAAAAAAGAGCCTGTATATGATAAGGACTTTTTGATATATACCATTATCCAATCATATAAACTATGAACTACACCATAAAGAGCAAACATAAAACATTTTGATCTTCATAAGCCCTCTGAATATATGAGAAGGACATTTGAAGATTGAACTCACTTATGCCAAGTATATGCACTGTCCACTACACCTCTGTTTTGTCAATTTGTTTACACATAGATGGCTTCACAAGCACTTAGTCATCAGGTGTCTATAATTATGACTACCTGACTGACCTCACCTGCTTAACCCAATCCTTGAATTTCCAGAAAAAAGTATTTATTTATTATAATGTTATTATAATACAAATATTTTTTTCTAAACAGATCTTGACATGGAACAAATCACACCTACAGTACTTGTCAAAAGTATACAGCCCCAGCTTCCTTTCTCATCAGTGAATACACTGAGGAATTTATATGAAATAATGTGCTTAGTTTACTTTTCAATACTTGGTAGTGTTGTTTTTCAATATCCTTCACTTTGAAGACATCTAGGAAGTGACAGACCAAGATTCTTGAGTGTATCATGTGAGATATTATTCCAGAACTCAGGAGTAATATAAACAGTTGTCTTTCCGCTATAAATCAATCATGGTAATGTGCCACAGGTTTTCAACAGGATTCAGATCTGGGTTACTGCCTGGCCAATCCTTAACCTGTTCATGACGGGTACATTTTGTAGCCAAAATAAAAATATTCCGGGCGGCTACAAAATCGGCGGCGGAGCTTCCTGGAGTCTGTCCCCCGCCAGCCACAGCCCGCTGCTGTGTCAGAGCGCAGCCCTGATACAGTATCACACTGGCGGGACACCTGGCATTGTTAATTTTTTTCGGGTGTCTCATATATGGGACATCCGTCGTGATTGGGTTAAGAAAGAGTACCATACAGTCCTTTAGCCATTGGGTCACAGATTTTGCTGTGTGGGCGGTGTCACCATCTTGCTGGAAGATGCTGGCCTTGGTGAGCTTGAAAGAACTGGTCACACAGCAGCTCTAGGTAGTCATGTTTGTTGTCTTTGATGTTCTTTGGATTAATAACATGTTTCCTCAGACCCCTCCCAATAAAGCAACCTCACACCATGTGTGTGTCTAGTTGTTTTATCATGTACTGCACATAACGGGTCAAGGGGGTTGCTGCCTTTTTGCTGGTACACTCTCCTTCCATAGTTGTCCATGGCATTTAACCATAGCAATGAGAGCCAGTCCTCCCCACTCCAGACAAGATATTGCATGCAAAAGGCAACCCTGAGATAACTCTGTGCCTTTGATAGAAGAGATTTCTTCCTTGGTGTGTGGCTGATGTAATTTAACTCCTGCACAGGATGTGATATGCTACACATGAAAGTCTACCCAAACATTTTAGGGTCGCTCTCCTTCAGAGATCTCACTGTTGTTTGTGAATTGGATCCTAAGGTGTGCTTCACAAGGTTCTCTCCTGCTCAGCTCTGCTCACCCAGCATAACGGCAGAGTTGCCGGATACTTCTTAGCTACAAAATTTCATCTCAGAAAAAAACTCCCTTTTTCCATCATGAACATAAGGCTGCAAGAGGTATAGGCCACATACTTTTGATGAGTACTGTAAATTAGACTTTAACAGTAAATCTATCACAATTCATAAAAAGGTGTGAAATATCCCTGTTTACCTTCAACCAAACAATATAGAGGAAAGAAGGTTAAAAATCACCGCAACAAAATGTAGTGCAGTGTCTTAACCCTATGACGGAGCCAGAATTTTCTGTGATATAAATATTACACAACAATTTAGCCTTTCTAGCAGGGCATATGCTAAAGCGAGTCATGACACATATTTATGATGATCCAAGGTACTCCCAACCAAAAACCCATTTTGTAGATTCAAAGTTTTAAAAGCACTTTATGCTTTTAATGCTTGGCAATACAAATACCTTCTTCTTGTTGGGGTCCAGCTCTCGCACAATGTTGAGGTCAGTCCGGCGAATGTACGAGTCAACAAGCAGGCCAAGGTTCGTAGCATTCAGAGCCTTCTCAAAGTGTTGCCTGTACACGGTCACCAGATCCTGGTTGCACTCCTCCAACTTTCCTGTTTATAAAAGAAATAATCATAATAAAATTCAATGAACAGTATCTACTTGCAGTGTAAGAAAAATATAAAAGACAGGTGGAGAAGCAGACTTAAATAAAACAGGGGGAAAGGAAAAGAAAAACAAGAAAAAACAAACAAACAAAACAAAAGCTATACTGATTTTTGAAACCAATAATACAAAAAAAATCTCATCAAATATTACTTTTTTTTTATCAACTTTCAAATGATAATAGTAATGATAACCTATTTGTGAATTCAATTTAGCTTAAGGTCTGCACACAAGGAAATAATATTCTTGATTCCCTCCGTATCAGAACTAAGAAAATGGTAACCACTCTGAAAATACAACAAGCGTGAAAGTAATAGGAAAAATATATCTATTACTTCCTAGTAACAAACCATATTAGAAAAGAAAAAAACATGAAAATGAAAATCTGAAATACCATACCTTTACCGAATACTAATACATCCTAAAATATCGTCAATACTAGTCTCTTACCAAAATGATGCCAAAGGAGATAGTCAACGGTGCCTGTAGTCATCGTTCCAGAACGGAGGTGTCGGATGTTGAGCTTCTGGTAACCCCATTCAATCCATCCGGCTTGGGTTGAGGAGCAGTTGATGAGAACCAAAGCATCAACCTGGGGATGGTGTGGAAGAACTCTAATAAAAGATATAACATAAGCAAATATATAACACTGTAAGCCTTGCGCTCTTCTTTTGTCTTGTAACCTATTTTATCAATTTCTTTTTATTATTCTTTTCATGATTTTACATAATCTGTTTGTAATCACATTTCATCATACCACCTTTATATAAATTTACACTCTAGTAAGCTACAATAGAAATGTATCAAAATCTAATTTTCCAGCAGAAATATGAGACATTGTGAAAACTCTATTTCCTCTTTCTTGTCAATTCATCTATAATAATAAACATTCTTTATCAGCATCATTTTTTCTCAAAAGACATCCCAAAATGCTATGGGATGGGAAAGGAAAACCCCACCCAAATTGCACATTTCTGTCATCAGTAAAAGACACAACACTCACATCTGCAGGATATTTGGTGGCATAGCGAGCAAGGACATTAGCGCCAAGACCCACACCGAAGCCAATGAAAGTTCGAATGTGGAAGTGGCTTTTAACACAGGTAATTGTCTCGGACAGCTCCTCCATCGTTGGGTAGACATAGCTGTTTGATAGGATACATAAATAACGCAAATTAGACGGATTTCCAGATTCTAAGATGGGAGAATCTGTGATACTTGTTAAAAATATGGTGAAAAAAACAAAAATGGGAAATAGTCCAAACTATATTTACTACCCATAAAAGAGACCACTATATGCAAATGTGCATAACATGTACATTACATAATATAAATATCATAATATACTTACAAAACTGAATGTTACATACTAATCTGTTTATACTGAATAATAATAACCAACAACAAACAACGATAATAAATAATGATAAAAAAAAAATAATAAAAATAAATAATAATAATAATAAGATGAAGAATAAAATACTAATAATCACAAGCACATGAATAACTATTTACCCTTCCGGCAAAGTGGGTGCTCCTTCCTCCTGTCCGGGCGCATTCACGTGTACAATGCAGAAGTTATTGACAATGTTCCTCATCTCAGGATAAAGGAAAAATGCCTGAAAATTGAAAAACAGAAATGAACCACAAATTGATTTGTGTGGTGTGGGTGAATACAGAGGTAGTATATGTCACTGAAAGGGTTGCAAAATATTCATCTGTTCTCTAGTCTCTGTTCTCTTGCCTCATGTTACCTCTTTTTTTTTAATCCTTTGTTTTTGTGTGCACAAACTATGGCTCACTCTTATTCTCACTCTTTCTCACTTTCTCTCCCTCTTCCTAGTAATCTTTCACTTTTCTTTGCCTTTCTCAATATATTTCCAAGTCCCACTTCTGTCCTCTCTCCCATGATTTTGAATACCATTTTTCTCTTCTCTCACTCCTTCTCCCTCCCTTTCTTACTCAAACTCTATTCTCACCCATATCTTTCCTCTTATTTCTTGCCTCCCTCCAATTTTTTCTTATTTTGTATTTAACTCCCTCTTCCTATTTTTTCCCTTTTACTTCTTCCTTATTCTCTCCTTTCTTTTCTAATTTTCTTCTCTCATTCTCTCCCTTCTTTTCTATTTCTTTCCTCCCTATTCCCTTCTTTTCTTATTTCCCAATTCTCTTACCTCCCTTTCCCTTCCTTCTTTTCTAATTCTCTTACCTCCCCTTCCCTCCCGTTTTTTCTAATTCTCTTTTCTCCCTCTCTCTCATTTCTATTCTAATTCTCTTCTCTCCATGTTTCTCCCATCTCTCCTTTCCCATTTCCATTCCTCTCACTCACCTTTTACACTCCCACTCTCCCCTTTTTCCGTTTTCCCTCAACAACACCTACCTGGAAGTTAGTGACATGGTTGAGTCCAAGGTCATGGTAGGTCAAAATAACTGGTTTGGAGGTGTCGCCGGTGATGGCCACTGTGATGGGGCCATGTCGCGTTTCCACCGTCTCCTTGTTGCCGGCCGACCCATCCTCACTCAGGGTGCGAGCATTAGCCACGGAGAGCTGAACGTGGCGCAGCTCAATGTCATCTAGGGCATCGCTAGGCATGGTCCTAAAAAGAGAGAGGAAGAAGATGCACGAGTTAAAAGATGCTGCTGCCCACAGAGGATATGATAATTTTGGTTGACCTCTGAGCTTTGATAGAGGAAAAGAGGGTTTATTTTGGGTCAGTAAATTACTTAAATTTTGGTATACTTAACAGCCTGTGAATGTGAATACAAGTATAAATGTGATTATGAGTATGCATGAGTGCAAGAGAGAAACAGACAGACACAAACGATAGAAAGAGAGAATAAGTGAGTGAGTGAGTGAGTGAATGAGAGTGCATGAGTGTTGCCTATTATGCTCACTATATCATAATAGGCCGATGAATTCACTCAAAATCTTACAGATGTTAATCCACTATCATCATCAAATAAAGAGCCGAATAAATACACAAAAAAACGCAAAATACATAAACTTAATATATTACCATAATCGATATCCACAGGACCCCTTATCTCCCACCATCATATCCATCAATATCTCCCTATCTACAATATCCGCGTTACCTTACCTCATTTCCTCTTTTAAACCTCTTTCAAAAAGATAACTTTACTGACTTATATATCCTTAAACCTGTTAATTATCTTCTAAAACAGCAATTTTTATGTGCCGTCCCTTCGCCTCTTCCTCTCCCATCCCTCAAGGACGAGAATGTAAACACACCGAGGAAGCGAACACGCGGTGAGGGGAACGTAGGAAGGAAGGACGAGGGGAAAGAGATAATTTTCGTGGATTGCTTGGTCTGAGGGAAGGGGGAAAATGCGAAATAATGGGGGGGAAAGGATGGGGAAGAGATGACGAGAGAGGCAGAAAGTAGGTAGGTTTGAAGAGAGCAACAGAGGTTGGAAGGATATTATAGAAAAAAATGTTATTCTTGATACAAAAGCTTGGTGAAGATAACCGGTCTCCGTAAGGGAAACCGAGCTCAGCAGAATGGAAACGCGAAAATTTTAGTGAATACAATATGTTCATTCCTTATTTTGATGTAAGGATAAATGATCCTTCATTATAGGGTTTATCTGCAGCGGCCTTATATGCAATTTCTTGTAATTCTTTAATTTTATTTTTGCAGCCGATTTTCAAGTAACTGCGAGTCTATGCTCCACCCACACCTCCGTACCAACCTGTATTTAAGAGATTTCATAATGAAACGCATGTGAAAATTGTATAAGATTATACAAAAGGGAAAAACGTTAATTTCTAAACTCAAATGAGTCAATAAAACCATATACAACAGACACTGAAGGCAACATTAATAAATGGTAGATACATAATCGTTTGAATTTCTTCATGTGACTTACGTTTATCTTTAAACTCTTATGAGACATTTTATGATTACCTTTTAATAAATGAAAATCTAAAGGAATAGTAAATATACTACACATGTTTTTTATATATATAAAAAATATAAATGAATAAACACTGTCGAAGTACAGTCAGTGCCAGAGCAAACATTCGAATTTATATACATTTTGATAGGAAGCAAGAGATCCTTCAAATAAAGCTCCACAGAAACTAATATATATATATATATATATATATATATATACTATATATATATATATATATATATATATATATATATATATATATATACACATAACATATATACTATATATATATATATATATATATATATATATATATATATATATATATATATATATATATATATATATATATATATATAGAGAGAGAGAGAGAGAGAGAGAGAGAGAGAGAGAGAGAGAGAGAGAGAGAGAGAGAGAGAGAGAGAGAGAGAGAGAGAGAGAGAGAGAGAGATAGAGAGACAGACAGAGATAGAGAGAGACAGACAGAGACAAAGATTCTCCCACAAAAAAGAACACTCATTCCCATATAAGGACCATTTCCACCAGCCTCACCCCCTAACAAAGCCGAAAAGGTAGGCCTACTTACAGGTCAAACGGGACTGGCATCTCATCAACGCCAAAGTTAGACTGCTGGAAGACCGCGGACATCATGACGAATAATCAAAATCTATGGAATTCTCACTCTAAAACGTCCCGATTTTTTCTTCAATGCGTG